GGATTGGGGCAGCTTCAACGAGAGCAACTTGGGGTTCCTCCCGAAGACAGCTTTCTGGGCGCGCAGACGGCGGCGCGGCCGCATTTTCTCCCGGCGACATGCGACCCCCCCAACGTCGCAAACGCGGACAGCATGATCAGTTGCAGCGCCGTTCAGTTGCACATCGGACCTGCAATTGCACTTGGGGCGTCTATGGCCCAAACGCGGGCTCCTCGGCGGCAGGTCGACGCTATCTCGCCTCGTGGACATCGAAGAGGCGACGTTGAGCAGCTCCTTTGCCCAGTCCCACCCGGCGGCGGTGTTCTTCGACTCCGAGGCCGCCTTCCCCAGCGTCGGCCAGGTGGTCCTGCTGGATCTCCTCGCGCCCCGCGGCTGGCCCCCGCGGCGCGCCCGACTCCTCGGGGCCCTTTCTTTGCGGAACCGCTGCGCCTCAGTGATGAAGGGCTCCTCGCCTTACTGGGGTTCATCCCTGCGGCGGGAGTTCGTCGGGGCCGCCCCCTTTCCCAGTTGCAGACCGTTGTTTTGTCTGGTGTCTTCTTATGTCGTCTTCGAAGCTTTCTTCTTGATGTCGCTCCGCGCGCCTGCGCTGACGATCTCGCCGCCGTTTTGACCCGCGGGCTTGGGGGCGCGCCAGCGTTGGAGCTGCTTTCCGAGGAGTGCGAGCACATCTATGGCCTTCGACTCCACCGTGGGAAATCGGCGTGGCCCCCACTAGCGCTCGACCCAGCGGAAGTGACGGGGGCGCAGCTGCAGGCCCGCGCTCCGACGGGGGGCGACTTCACCACGTGCCGCTACGCGTCCTATCAGAGCTGCGTCGCGGGGCAACAGCGGGCGGAGCGGTCTTGGTCAAAGCCGCTGGACAAGTTTGTTGCCAGGGCCCGTATCTGGAGGTCCGTCGGCTTTTCTTACGACTTGTTCTTCTTACCCCATTTACGCGTTCCCAGTTGTCGCGTTCGTCCTGCAGTTCGGCAACACGCCGTCGCATTGAGACGCATGTGAGAAACGTGCTTGTACAGTGCTGTTCCCGGGTCCCCGTGACTTGGCGCCTCCAGACGTTCTGCGAACTTTGCAGTCCATCGGCTCTGCGTCGGAACTGGCGAACGCCGGCGGCACTTCCACGGCAGCCAAGTGCAGAGTACACCGCCGGGAGAACCACGCGCGCGGAGGGCTCTCCCATCGGGCGCCAGGGGCGGCATCTCTGCGCTCTCCTCCAGGACTCCCCGCGCACCCTCCGCAGAACGACGCGGAGAACATGGCGCGAACTCAACCTCTTGGCGTCCAGGCCGCCAGCGACAAGGTGCACGCCAAAGCACGCCGTGCCAGCGCGTCGGCCGACGAGCTGTTCCAGGGGGGCGCTCGTGGGCCGACGCCTCGGGAGCGCTGGCAAGAACAGTGCGCGTTGTTTTTTCGTGTCCCGCAGCCGCAGCGCGCGCGTCGACACCTGCGCCGCTGCCTGGACCGGCGCTCGCTGCATGTTCTGCCAGGTCGTCGCGCGGACAGGGCGACTGCCATGCTGTGCGGGCTGGCGCGTTGAGTGCCGCCTCTTGTGCGGGCGTGCGTTTCCCATGTGCTTCGCAAGGGGTGAGCGACCGGTCGCCGCATGCAGCGCGTGGCGCCCTGCGTCTGCGGCTGCGATGCACGAGGACAGTCTCGAGCATTGCAGTTGTTGTGGCCGGGTCGCTGCGTTCGGCGCGCGACGCCTTTGCCTGACCCACGCGCCACCCCCAGAGCACCTCTCTTCTTTCCTCCGGCTCTCCCCGGCGCTTTCCGAAAATCTTGTCCAACGAGCTCGCGCGACGAGCGCTTGCATCTTACGCCATCTACGCGGCAGCCAATGCCGCGCGCCACGGTGTGACAAGTGACGCATGTTAGGCTGTGGCGCAATTTGCGAGCGAGGCCTGCGCGGCACATGCTGGCCTTGCATTTCTAGTAGCAGCTGTTTGGCAGAGCTGCCCCCCCCTTTTCTTCCTCCTGCTCCCCCGTTGTCGTCGGTCGTCTCTTGCTCCCTTCCTCCGTGTTTGGTGGCCGGGCTGTGTCACCCACCCCTCGCGGAACCATCCTCCCTGACACCACCACCCGGCTTTGGCCGGACAGCCAGAATAGAAGGGTTGCAGGCGGGACGCTATGGAAGTCCGCCGGTGTATGCGATCATACTGCACGCGTTTGCGTGGCCACCGTCTGCGACCGCGGATTTTGAGCCCCTGGGTTTTGCGGAGCATGACTTCGAGACTACATTATGCAGCGCAGCGGTTGACAGGCATAGCCTGTATGCATCGATTGGTTTCGCATGGACTTTGGTGCGAGTGCCGTCCACCGCGGCTAGTCAACGCACGCGCGAGTTACTCTGGATTTAATTCTCTTAAGCGTCAGTCGGGTCATTCCTCTCTTCGTTTATTTTCCTCCTCTTTCTCCTGCTCTGATTTCTCTTCCTCTTCCGTTGCCTGCCTTCCCCTTTCTTTTTGTTGCTGCTGCTGTCCGCGTGATCTTGTGTGTCCCTGCCGTGCCAGTGCCGTCACAGCGTGCAAGATGGGCACGACAGAGGATTGATTAACCATGCATGGCCGCGAGGAGTGCTTGGGCAGGTACAAGTCGTGGACTCATCATTAAAATCTTTGCGGCCAGTGACAGTCACGAGGGGGCCACTGCCCTCTTCGGGACGAGGCGGGAGCAGCGCATGGAGCTCGATCGGTACGCCTACCATCACGCAGCCCGTGCGAGCATTACGCTGCAGCGCGCCGAGTACGCCGAGGACTTGTACAACGACGTGGTGCAGCAGAGGGCGGCACCCCTCATGAGCACTGTTTCGAGCATTGGCGAAGCGTCCTGGCTTGCCTATACGCGCACCAATGAATGTGCTAAGAACCTTCTGTGGGTTGCACGACCTTAGATCATTTCAGGCTGAGACTGTCTTGCTTTAACACATCGGATGTGCGTTTTAAGAACATCGCTTCGGTTCTCAAACCACTTCTGGGTTCTAAGGACATGTCGTGGCAGGCCTCCATAGGAATGCCGGGACGGTCGGTCCCTGCTCAAGTGATGCCCTTCTGCGTGGGGCGTGCGCAGGTGCCGGCCGGCACGCCCCTGCCGCCGAGCCCACGACGCACCTGGCGCGTGCGCAGGAGGCGGCGGCCGCGCACGGGCTCCATGAGGGGGCAAGCGCGAGGTCCGGGGCACGGCCCCCGGAGGCACCTCCGGCGCGCCCCAGAAGGCACGCTTCGCCCAGAAGCGACGGCACTCGCCGCCCTGTGGCTGCGAACCGCTGGCGCTCCGGCCAGGCGCCGCCCTCCTGGCGGCAGTCGAGGTCCGCCCTGCGCGCCCTGGGGCATGGCCCGCGCCGCCCCCCTCCCATCCCGACCGTCTTGGGCAATGCCCGGGATGCATCTCCGGCGCGCCCCGGGAGTGACGCGCCACCCAGCGCGACGGCCTCTGAAGCCACTCCTCTCCTCTGTGCTCCCCCCATGCCCACGGCCCGCGGGCAGCGTGGACCGTGCCATATTCGGCCCCCCTTTTACCCCCTTCCCCGTCCCTCCCTTCTCCCACCTCCCGATGTCCGACGCATGGGCCATTCGCTTTTTCTGCTTCCCGTACTGGAGCAAGATGCATGACAGGACAGAGCCCCAGCTTACTCCCCCAAGCAGCACTTGCGGTGAGAGGATTTTCCTGTATGCTCTTGAATTGCATCTGCCATGGCGGCATGTTGGTTCGTGGTCGTATGTTTTCGCCACGCTCTTTCTCCTCTTTTTTTTTGTTCTCTCTCTCTCTCTCTCTCGCACTGAGACGTTGTCGTTGGACTCTGCTGTGGAGTCTTGACGTTAGGGTACCACAGATAGTCTCCAACAAGATGGGGTCTCACATGATAGTGTGCAACCCGATGGCGTTCCCAATGGGTCCCGCAGGACTCCCACGCACGATAGGGCCCTGTGCAAGAGGATATCACACGATAGGGGCCCATACGACATGGCATGGCAGGGCCCCCTGGTACAAGGATCACGCGCGGCGGCAGCGTGGCAAACGACAGGATCCCACGAGAGAGCGTTCTACTCTACGGTAGCCTCCCACGCGATAGCGTTCTACATGATAAGCTTCATGTGACAGTGCCCCACACAATGTGGTCCCACGCGATAGCGTCCCGCACGGTGGGGTCCCGCAAGATAGGGTCCTAGACAGTGGGGCCCCCGCGATAGGTTCGCACACGGTAAGGTTCCAGGCGGGTCCCACACGGTATTCGGTCCCATACATTCGGCTCTCACGCGACGGCTACCCACAAGACAGGGTCCCCCCACGATATGGCCCTACACTGCAGGGCCCCATGACTGCGCCAGGTCGATTGCACACCATTGATCGCATCCCATGAATTTCACCGCATAGACTGCATCTCATGTGTTGCGTAGATTCACCGTTTGACATCCACGCCAGTGTCAGCATCCAGTTGCCATTGCGCTATGACGTATATCCGCACCGCGATGTGCGTGTGTGTGTGTGTGTGTGTGTGTGTGTGTGTGTGTGTGTGTGTGTGTGTGTGTGTGTGTGTGTGTGTGTGCGTTGGTTTGTGTGTGAGTTTTTGTGTTTCTGTGTTTTTGTGCGTATTATGTATTTGTGCATTTCTGTGTGAATGTGTGTATGTGTGTGCGTGTGTGGTGTGTCTGTGTGGGCTGGGGGGGAAGATCTGCAGAGAGCTTGGGGGGGGGGTCACGACATTTATCACCCGTCGTTTTTAGGTGCTAAAATCCAGAGCACTAGAACGACGCATGCTGCCCTCGATGCTCTGGGGAGCCGAGCGATTGCTTCGCAGGGAACGGACCTGGGGAAGTGCGGAGGGCTCAACGAGCACCACACACACGCACCAATCGCGGCGCAAACCAGGATTTGGATCTTGCAGGCAGTTGGCCCAATTTCTTACCACGTGCACGCATGCACGCATGCACGGGTTTGAACGCGCAAGGGCCACCCAGCATTTACGAGAGATTCCAGCAGGTAGCCAGCGTGGTGTGCGCGCGTCGTTTGGCAGCCGCGTGCGCTCAAGCAGTCGGATCGAACCAGGCCTCTCCTGGTAATACACATCGTTTTCTATATATTCAGTCAGCGCTCAACTGTCGCCACACTCTTTGATTCTCTTCATCGAATACCACAATGCGGCGTAAAGCCGAACTTCCGAAGGTCCTCGCGGAATTTGCTGTGTTGGCGCGGCACCCGCTCCCCCGCACCCCCCAGACGGCGCCTTCGGCGCCGCCCCTAGCGCGCTGCACGCGCCAAGGAAAGGGTGTGGGGTGTGGGTCCCAGCGCCGTCCCAACAAGTTCCACACGGGACTCTTGATAGTTTCGGTTTATGCCGGTTGTTGGTCTTCTATTCAGAAAGACAGATGGCAGTTGCGGCCACGATGGTAAAGCGGAATGTCCAGAAGTGTTCCACGGGGTTTGTTGCTCACATGCTTCTCCTGTGTATCGCAGTGCTCTGCACGGACCTCTTCGCATTACGCGATAAGTTCATGATTCCGCCCAGCCTGGCGGGGAGTGCACAGGTTCAGGTCGATTTCTTGCTGTGGGTTCTTGTTGCGGCCTACCTGATCGACGCTTACAGTGCGAGAGCCACGGGACCGATCACCAGCTCAAGGAAACAGGTTGCGACGAAGCCAGCGTTCGACAGGGTGGTCTCTGATGGCCGGCGCCCGGCCAGCCCTGCAGCCCCCACCGCAGAGCGAGCGCCGCCCGCGAAACCAGATGGCTGCCAGGGCAGCTCGGCGGACTCGGGAGACCTGTCTGGACAGGAGTGTTGGCGGCAGAGGTCCGACCTGCAGGTCGTCAGCTCCATGTTGGCGGAGGGCGTGCCGTACAGAACCTCCAAGGTCTTGGAAGTGATGCACAGCTGCATCCGGCTCGGGCACGGAGACGCGGCCGTGAAGCTGTTCGACGAGATGTTGCAGACAGGGCCCACCCCGAAAGCGCACCACATTGGCAAGGCCGTATCACACAAGTTCTTCAAGCTCGTCTCCGACACCCTCGATGACAAGCGCATTCAGGAAGACGGATTGCGGCTTCTTGACCTTGTTCGAGCTCATGGGATCGCACCGGCGCCTGCGACCCAGAATCGCTTGCTGGATGCGTGGAAGAACCAGCTTCCCGATTCCTTCTTGAGTTATTTCCTCGAGTTGAAGGACGCAGGATTCATCCTCAGTAGATGGGCATATCGCTACATCGTGGTGGCCCACGAGAGGTCCGATCCAGCATTCGCGCTGAAGATTTACAGTGAGATGGAGGTGCTAGGAATTCAGCTCGACCGGGCGGCGTACAATTCTGTGCTGGGGGCTCGCTTTCAGCTTGGCATGCTCGACGAGGCCCGAGAGCTGTTCCTGCGGATGAACGACAGTTCACTGGTGCCCAACGAAAAGACGTTTGGAATCATGATCAAAGTCTACTCGGCCAAAAACGATCACGAGGGAGCTATTGCCCTCTTCGGGACGATGCAGGAGCAGCGCATGGAGCCCGATCGGTACGCCTACCATCACGCAATCCGTTCGAGCATTACGCTGCAGCGTGTTGAGTATGCCGTAGACTTATACAACGACATGCTCCACAAGAAGGTGCCACCCCTCATGAACACCGTTTCCATTCTGAGCGGAGCGTGCGCAAGTGTTGGCTGGCACGCTCGTTCGGCCGAGCTCTTGACGCACCTGGCGCGTGCCAAGGAGGCGGAGGCCGAATACGGGCTCCAGAGGTAAGCACGAGATCTGGAGCAAAACGCCCCAGATGCATCTCGAGCGCGCCCCGAAAGTTACACATCGCCCAACGTGACGGCACTTGCAGTCACGTGGCCGCGAATTGCTGGCGCTTCGGCCAGGTGGCACTCTCTTGCCAGCAGTCGATGCCTTCCCCCGCGCGCCCTGCGCACGGCCCGCCCTGCTCTCCTCTTCTCCCAACGAATCTGCCTGGTTGGAGGGCAGGGAGTGAAGTATTCTCGGATGCTTTTTGGCCCAGAACATCGCCACCGGTCAATTTCCTTATCCCCCTTGGCGTTTCCCTCTCGGCCTCCTGCACTCCCGCTTCCACCTCCGCCCCCCCACCTTGACGGACGCCTCCTCCTGCACCTCCGCCACCGCTGACGTTCCTGCTCCTCCTCTACCTCATTCTCCACCGTCCCCCGTCCACCCCATCATCATCATCATCATCATCATCATCATCATCATCATCATCATCATCACCATCACCATCACCATCACCATCACCATCACCATCACCATCACCACCATCATCATCATCATCATCATCATCACCATCATCATCATCATCATCATCATCATCGGCAGCGTCATTTTCATCATCATCGTCATTGTCATCGTAATCGTAATCGTCATCATCATCATCGTCATCATCATCACTATTATCATCAGCATCACCATCATCATCATCATCATCATGATCGTCATCATCATCAGGATCAGCATCATCATCATCGTCTGAATCAGCATCAGCATCAACAGCATCATCATCAGCATCATCATCATCATCATCAGCATCAGCATCATCATCATCATCATCCAGCTGCCCGCGCGAAACAGTAAACACGGAGTAGGCTTGACCCATCACTGCTCAAGGATCCACGCGGACGCGGCCTTTGACCACGCCCACGCCGCCTACAGCACCTCAATCAGAGTCGCCCCCTCTTCATCCAGGTCTCCAGCTCCCCATGTCGCTAATCTGGGATACGGTGGCTCCGCCAACACATGCTTTCTTCCAGAGCCTGCTCAGGACCCCAGTCAGCCCTCTCGCTGCGGCCGCCCGGTCGGCCCGAAATCCGTTTGCCGCCGTTTTGCGCATGCGTTTCCCGCCGAACGGCCAGAGGTGGTCCTAGAAAAGCAAAACGCAAAACGAACTTCTAGAATCACCCCATGCGTTTCATAAACATACCGTGCTCTCAGAATACAGAAAGGCATTCTGCATTTCAGCATCTTATTAATCGCAAGCCGAACCTAATTCCCGACCGCCACAACGCATAGAACGGAACCGCACATTATTGACGCTTCGCGTATCCCCAGGGCACCCCACCAGCCGGGATGTCTGGGCCGGTCACCAGCCGACGCTGTATTGCGTCTCAATGAGGGGCACTGCCCCTGGCATGTGCATGCGCCACTGCATGTGTTGTCCGCTGGAGTCTGCGGCAATCTCGCGCCAATTTACATCGTACCGCGCCCAGGACGTTGTGCCCGCTCCATGTCCCTCGCTATGGAGCCGCGAACCAAAAAAGTATCCCCAGGGCTGCTCGCGCTCTCAGGATACCCCTGCCGTCAGCTCCCCTTCATCTTCGCGGCTGCTTTGTGAGCGGGCCGGCCGGCTTGTGCCTGTTGTAGCTAATTAGCCTCGTTCGTGCCCCGGACGTTGCCTTTGCCGCCTGACCCTTGTTTCGCGGCCGCGACCAAAAAGTATCCCCAGGGGTTCCGCGCCCTGGACAGCTTCTGTCTCCGCCTGCGCTTTCGCTAGCGGACGCGACCGAAAAATATCCCCAGGGGCCCATCCAAATGAAGCCTCCAGGAGCGTCGCCCTGATCAGGAATGTGCAGCAGCATGCAATGGGGCCGAAAGAGGGCGGCCGTTATATACCTTTGGAAAGAGAAGAAGGAGGGAGGAGGAGCAAGCGGAGGAGGCAGGACGCGGCTGAAGAGGAATGATAAGAGGACGGAGAGGTGGCAGGAGGAGCAGGAGGAGGACGAGGAGGAGGGAGGACTAAGAGGAGGAAGAGTGAGCGCAGACTCTGAGATCTTCAGGAGCTTGTCTGGAGCTCTTCAGGAACTTTGAGGGGGTGAAAAGGGGGGGCTCTGGAAGGGTTGAGAGGAGGGTGGAGGGGGAGAGGGGCCCTCTGAGAGGCCTTGGGCATCTCGGGGCCATGTTGGATGCCATCGATCATTAAAAAGGGGGGGCGCTTATTTGGGCCTCCCCGTAGGTCTCGGTGCGCTCTTGAGCGCTCTTGGTGCCGTCCTGGGGCCTTCTTAGGCCCTTCTTGGGACCGTATTGGGCCATTTCGGAGCCATCCTGAGGCCTCTCAAGCCGATCGGAAGCGACAAGACGAATACACGGAAAGCATTCAGGATTCTGGCATTTTGGGGACTTCCTTGAGAGGCTCGGAGGGCACTTAAGCCGTCCGGGGGCGTCTTGACGGCTCTTGGAGGCATGTTTGAGACCATCTTGAGCCATCTTGGGATACTTTGCGCGATCTTGAAGGTTATCTTGGGTGGTGTGGAGCTTTCTTAGAGCCATCTTGGGGCAAAGAGGGCCCTCTGACACCTCGCGGGGCGCCCCAGTCCAGACCCAGGTGTAGTGGATAGGGGCATGGGGGAAACCCCTCCCCGAAGGGGAAGAGAGGGGGTAGCAGAACGAGCTCGCTAGACCACTCACGCCTTAAAGGCCAGGTGGGGTCTGACGCCACAGCGCGTAACACAGAATTCCCCAGCATTTTGCTTAGGGCTGCACGTTGCTCGAGCTTCCCTGGGCGGTCCAGTTCAGCCAGCCAGCCCCCGCCCTGCTGCCCCAGGTGCCGCCTTGTGAGCTGGCCCGGCCGGCGTGTACTGCGCCCAGTAGCTAATTAGGCTTGCCCGTCGGCCCGGACACCCTGTTCGCCGCCTGCGCTCTTCGCTGGCGGCCGCCACCAAAAAAAAATATCCCCATCACCAGTGGACGCCGCCCGACCTTTCTTCGCCGCGGTCGTGATCAAAAAGTATCCCCACTGACCCACCCAAAGCCAGTCATTGGGCGGGTTGTTCTGATCAGGGATGCGTAAGTGATAGATGTCTTTATAATGTTAAGGCCCCCCCTGAGCTCACGGCTGTGAATACAAGTTGCCCCTCCCCTCCGCATCCTTCTCCTCCTCGCCCTCCCCCTCATCCTCCGCAGTGGGCGTCTCTGGCTCGCCCCGTGCGCACAAGGGGAAATAAACGAAGCTCCTGAGATACTCGCGGTAATAGCAATATCAATGGTAGTGTTAGTAGTGGTGGTAGTAGTCGTGGTAGTAGTAG